ACGCTTACAGTATCTGAATGTAAGCCATCAGAATAATACAAAGTAGGAAGTTTGGTCCCTCGGGTGTAAGCGCTCGTCATAGAAGAATTTAACGATCTTCTTCATCTCGTACTAAACACACAGTTCGAAGAGGATGTATTCCTCCGCTTTTTGACAATTAATTACTTTATTGGGTACTTGACTTAATGCCACTGTAAATCGGAGCATTTTGTTAATTTATTTTATTGCAATCCTCGCACATCAAGTAAATTTAATTGACTTCCGGGAAACAACAGCAAGAATATTTGTCTCGAATTTAGCAGAAATTTAAGGAGATTTTTAAATTGAAAATAAGTTATTTATATACAGGAACACCATTCCTGTAACAGATTAAAGGAAAAAGTACTTTTGTTTTGTTTTCTAACCAATTGTTTATGCATTCCGCAACACCAATACCAAAACATCTTTTTGTAATTTCTGTTCTAAAATATATATAGGACAGACACGTAGAATGTTCTAGATTTGCATAAACGAGCATTTCAAAATTTGTGCACGAAGACAGTTCAATAGCTTTACCAAAATGAGAGATTCAGAATATATTTGTGCAAGGCAGCCCCTGCTTAGCGGAGTACTCGATGGTGATTTCGTGAAAGGTTGATTAGAGGGGAAGTACAGGCGTAATAGGGAATTGAGGAAGAATTTCCCTATTATAACTATCGTTCTCTCTATGACCACGTCAGAAACATATAGTTGCTTTGACACAAGAAAAACTTGAAAATAATTCATCGGGAAACACTACAACATCTGCTGTATAATCCGGATTTGTTATCATGGAACTTAAAGAAGAATTTGGAGTACGCTGTTTTGATGACTACCAAAACATGAAGGTGTTTATTTCTCAATAATGACATAAAAAGACTTTCAATCAGTTGGAAAAAGTGCATCGCTAAAAGAGGAGAGTACTTCAAAACATAAAGGTGGATTCAAAAATTTTTTACTGTGTTAAAAAATTCTGGTTAAAACGTAAAAGAACATAATCGAATTGGCCGATTTTAGTGTCGTTTACAATCTTCCATAACAGTGCATGTGGTGAAAACAGGAAAAACTGGAACGTCTGTGCTTATTGATCCGCAACCCTTTCCAACCCCGAACGTGACTTGCATGTGTTTTAAAAACTTGGCTTTTTAAAAGTCCCTCATTTCCTGTAAACGTAAACCATTGGTTATAACGAGTTTTATGATCTATATTCTAACGCACCGTATCAGCAAGTCACTACCATTTCTATATCGACTATCGATTGTAGGTCATTTTTGATAGAAAAACAAGGCAATCAAGTTTATATCTTTCGGCGATGTTGGGCATAGCATTAAAAAAAAGGCAGTAATTACTTAGAAAGACTTTATAAATATAACAGTAGGACAGTAAGGTAATATTATTACCAAGAATAGTACCAATTCTAGTCTTCTTGGTTGTCACATCTGGCTTTTTGCATTGGTTAAGATCTGCAAATATTTCATCAGCTGGTTTTCGTTAAATCTCAAAAGAAATGTTATTTGTTGTTTGCGTTATTGACAAGTTTTTCCTAATTTAGCTTGTGCTTTAAAAAGCTATATTCTGCTGATTAATTCGCTAAAGTTAAAGATCGAAAGAGTGAAAACGAAATTGAACGAATGGGTGGGTCCTTTCAAGATTAAGAATTCGATTGTTTGAACTGCTGGAACCGTGCGCCCTTAATGACTCCAAACCGTTTTTGAAAGAAACGTCCGAGTTCTTTGTTTTTAACGGTTTTTTGACGTTGCAAATGCTACAAAACGTAAACGGAAAAATGACGATCTTGTTCTTATTCTAACAATCACAACTTCTATTGATTGATGCATCTATTCTGCTCATAAATCCAAACGAGTGGGAAAGTGTATTATGGTCAATATACAGGGAGGATAAAATCGAAGATAGAAAGCAAATCGAAAACTCGTTGTAAAGAAAAGGAAAATCGTGTAGTAGATTGTACAGCAAAAAAAGAGAAAGGCGAATGGGTTATATGAAAAAACAATTAGTAATTACTTTGAAAATTTTGTCACGTAATAGGGTTTATGTCAATAAAAACGAGGTACGGTAGAAAAAGGTAACAGACGAAGGTTAAGGGTCAAGGACTTTGAATGGTCAAGAGTGGACCACATCGCTGTGGTTTTTACTTCCATCCAAACGAAATGTCTGGAATTCCTTGACAATATTAGTATATTACGAATTTAGACAAGAAAAGTGTAGAATGTCTCCAAAAACACGTTTACTTCTTCCCCATATACAATGAAGTAAAATTTTCTTGAATACTTGAGTAATTTAGTAATCATGCTTGTGAGAGATACATCGCAACAATTCTCGATTTGGAGGGGTAATAGATACCAACTCTTGCGTCATTAAATAAAAATGCCGCATAATTTTGCAATAAGCAAGACGTTAGGAGGGTTATATGAAATTGGATGCTTGTGGTTTTAATATTCATAAGTCCGCAGCGTGACGTCGTATACGCACTCACAAGGACTCGTTTGAAGTTCAAGGGGCGGGGAAAATTTTTGACGTACAAGATTTTGAAACCGGACAGTCCAGCCGTGTGTTACGACCAACCCAAAAGTCATGTCAATCACCCCTTACTTTCGTTTCGTCGTTTCCCTGACTAGACTGCAATATAGCCGATAACATTGAATCAAACGATCTAATTTCGATGAAGGTACAACAGAAACTTTTTAGAGAAGCCTATGAATGAAACAAGATTAGAATCGTCTTCATGCGACGTATTGTTTCAGAGTTACAGCTGTCGAAAGTTTTGGCGTCGAATTATAGTACAGTCTTCCAGTTAGAGATATTTAATTTAGAAGAGACGCACTCACCAGAAGGACTGCGGTTAGAAATTAATATGTCACACATATATGCACCAACCAAGTCTCATTCGGAGCCCAAGGGATGGGGAAAATTTTTGACGGAAAGGGTTCTGAAGAAGGAGAGTCCGGGTATGAGCTACAACTGACCTTAATCACAGTGTAGTTACCCCCACAATATTGGTAATAATTTAGGGTTGAACGTCCCGTTCCTATAAGAGTACCATCAAAATTTTCTAGAGAGATACCCATGATTGAAATATGCCCAAAATGGTCTTCATGTGACGTATCGTTTGAAAGTTGCCACTTGACGAAATTTTTATCGTTGTAGTATCACAAAATTGTACGAAATTCACGCTACTAACTAATTTAGGTATCGTTCACTGCACGTCAAAGAAAATATCGTGTTAATCAGTTATTATTCAAATTAAGTGGAAACCACGCTGCTTTCACCTTTTTCTTTCATTTTAAGGGAAAATTAAGAGTAATGGAATTAGGCTTAAAAGCCGCAATCATCATTAAGGGAAAAGGTAACTAATTTCAGTTCTGAAAATGGGATTAGACCCTTTGAATTGCGAACTGATGAGTCTGGCGGACAGAGCTTATCGGATTTTATCTACACGGAAAGATTTACAAAGTTTATGTTTACCCGCGAGAGCATCAAAAGAAAAATCCGAGCTCGAATCATTCACTTGAAAAATCCTGTTGACATTTAATGTGTAAATGTTTTCACTGCACTTCTGGAACGAGAGTAGACAGGTACCCACCTCTGCTATCCACTAATTAGATTGTTGATTGGCAGCTCATACGTTAACAAGTACGCTCTACAAACAATGCCCCCTCAGACAGTAATTATACAGGGAGGCATTCACATAGCCAGTAAATATATACATAAACGTGTTGTAACACCATTTCTATAAGTAAAAAATATAACGACCACTTAATTCGTATAATATTATCCTAATCACTTTGTCGTCCATCTGCCAGTTTACTGGGCGATTAACAAAACGTATTGCAGGATATTTCTTTCACTCAAAATGAAACTTTATTACGTTTCATTTCCGTCAGCTGATACTGGTGAACGAGTTGTTCCACTTATTTACATTTTAGTGCAAAGTATAGTGTTGATGAGTAGGGATTTCTACAGCCCCCTTCGAGGAATCCCGGGAACGACTGGATTTTGGTTGCAGAGAGAGATGAGTCAAACGAGATGAAGGCAATACAAGATTGTGGAGCAGTATTATTGATTCAGCATTTACCGGCACGATTCAGAGAACTATAGAAAAACTGGGACCAAAGTGGATGAAACCGGAATTGAATGGATATCCTTCCAAATAACAAGTTAGGATTTAATCCAACACGTTCCGTGCTGCATTACTATTACTGTCTGTATATCATCTCGTAACTAGAGCTAGAACTGATCTCTTTTGGGTGTTTCATTCCCACCAGTCAGTAATGCTGGTGGACGGGCAGTCGGAAGGTAGGGCGGAAGGCCCTCTTCAGCCTGCTTTCAGGAATCGTGGGAATGGGTGGGTGGTGGTTCGGGTGAGAAAGATGAGACGGACGAAATGAAGATAGAAGAAGGTGAAAGATTATCTGTGGAATATTACTGCCCCAGCATTTGCCTAAGTGATCACAGAAAAACTTGGACCAAGGCAGACGGACCCGGAATCGAACCGGCGTCCTCCCGAATGCTAAGCAATGGTCTAGACCTCTAGGCCATGCCGCTCGGTCTCTTCCGACCTCGCGCAAACTATTTATAGGGACTGGACTTCTCTAGAGAGATTCCAGAATGTAGGATCTAGAGATTCTGGTCATCTTTGTTAGGAGCGCTATTTAGGCAACACACTGTAGGCTTCTGCACTCTTCGTCGCGTATGATGGTTTGCCTGGAAGTGACAGTACGTTTGATAAATTTTGTACATTTTCTTTTAAATCTTGTATCTATCCGTTTGATATATGATAAAACAGCTTCCTAAACCATCTTTAAAATTTCTACGTAGAAACAAGTCTATTAGACCTATATCCATAAAACCTTAATCTCAAACCATTATGAACTTGAGTATTTTATCTATCTAATTTATTCGTAGGTACACTAAATTACTGCCTTCATTTCTGACACGTACTAATACCAAATTTTTTGTTTCAGTGTGATCCAGGTTTGGGAGCAAGCGTGATGTACGATCTTCTCTACAATGAACCCACAAAGTTAATGCTTCTAGCTGGCTGCAGTACGGTATGCACCACTGTCGCTGAAGCAGCCAAAATGTGGAACTTAGTTGTGGTAAGCTGCTAATTCCATACTATATCGTTTTTTAGTTCCATTTTTAACATTCTGCTAGGATTACTGATTGGTAGCCATGCCAAAATTATAATAGAATTAATAGGACAATTATTGAGTGCAGGAACTTTTCTCCTTTGCCAATATAATTCTCTCTTATGATATCACAGAGGACAAACCACGTTTTAAATGTAGTCAGGTCAGAAGAAGAGAAGATCAACGACTTTGAACGAACCGTAGTACTAAAGAATGAGTTCAAAAATGGCACAGGTGTTCTTTATAGACCAGAATCTTCGATTTGACTTTTATGCAGAATTAGTTCAGCATTTCTGCATCGCGCTATTTTACCCGGTAGCGCCATAAACGGCTTTTACTTCTGTAATTCTTCCTTTCTAATTAAAGCTGTATGTAACTTAGTACTTAGCGATAAGCTTTTTAAAGTTACTTTAGATTTAATGTCAGTTTGCAAACATAATCCGTAAATATGCAAAAACCTCCCCCTGCAAAACGTACACCGTATCATGCTGACATTTAATTGTTTCATGTGTACTCTTGGATTTATATGTGTTGTCAAATGAGCATAATTAAATTGTTCTTTGTATATGGGTCTGAAAGCAAGCCGCACATAATTACCTAGCTTTCTAAATAAATCATTTTCTACGTAAGTGTGTTTTGCGAAAAGGGTGGTTTTGCTGTTGAGCATGAATATAAAGGATGGCACCCCTGGGTTGCCGTAATTTTCCATGCAAAAGCTCCCTGCCTGACTGCTTCCATTCGTACTGTTCGTTCCTTTGAATTTACGAGTTAACAAAAAGTTATTACATACCTACATTCAAAGTTTCAGAATTGTATAGTTAATGTTTCTCCACTTTTTCTGACTTTAAGTGATAATTATAATATCAAAAGCACTTTCACTATCACTTAAAAGCTTTACGTAGCGGTTGAGAGCAAGTGAGCAACATAACAAACAAGGTATTGTTACGTGTTCATGGTTTGAGATCCGTTAGGTGGTTTGATCAGTCAATGGCTGATGAGCAACGACAAGCCATTGATCCTTTCAGCCATTAGCATTATATTTGAGGCAGGGATACATCTGTAATCCCACATGATACCTTACAAGTTGTGAGCAAGTATTTTGGATTGCTCATGAGGTACAACAGCCGTTGCAAGATGAATTCCGGCGTAGTTTTTGTAAATTAAGCGTTTTCTCTCCGAGCGGCCACAGTTAAACCACTACAATAAATCCCTATTTCATACAAAAGGGTAATCAGTACTAACGAGCGCTTTATTGTGTTTAAAGACGATACACAATATAGTATAGTCGAAATAAGAAGGCAAAGTCCCCAATAAATAATGCACACTAAAGGCATATCGTTTTTCTCGTTCTTACAAACGGAAGATATCCTGTCTTTACTCTCTAAACACGCCTCCTCCATAGCTGTGTCGAGACCTGCACCTACGTTTCATAAGAATCAATCGAATAGAATGAGACGATCGACAACATGCTTGTCTTGTCATTTGTACCTACATAAAATGGGCAAATTTACAGGATNATAGTCGAAATAAGAAGGCAAAGTCCCCAATAAATAATGCACACTAAAGGCATATCGTTTTTCTCGTTCTTACAAACGGAAGATATCCTGTCTTTACTCTCTAAACACGCCTCCTCCATAGCTGTGTCGAGACCTGCACCTACGTTTCATAAGAATCAATCGAATAGAATGAGACGATCGACAACATGCTTGTCTTGTCATTTGTACCTACATAAAATGGGCAAATTTACAGGATCGGCTTAAGGTAGTAGTCGTGCTACAGTATGGTGAAAAAGTTATTGTAAGATCTAAAATAATTCAATGCAATAATATTTATATAATTTCGATTGTACATCAAAACAGATTGAATGAGTCTGTATTCATACATACCCACACATCTAAAAATATTATTGTTCTTTTAATCGTGCAACACTGTATTTTATATTGATACAAATTCTCATATTTTTAAACTTTGTGTTATTATAACTCAACAACGGGAAGGTCAATAGGCTAATAGGAAGGTCTTCTTCCACGAAAACTAATAAAAGGATATATAATAAATACAAAATAGTCAGCATTGATGAGAAATGAATGCGTTATTGTTTACTTTTAATTTCATAAAAATAATTGTTTTTCAAAATAATACTTAGATACATTTGTTTTTAAATTAAAAGTTCCACCTTATTAAAATAAGTAAAGTATCCGGGATACGGTTCTGCAACTAATGTTCAAAACCTCCGCCACTATGTTTATAACGGAGATTGTTTTCTCTACTTTGAAAATAATTACATAATAACATTCCAAACAAGTTTTCTACTCTGACCATTTCCTTGAAAGTTAACAACAAAAATAACAATAGCACCAACAAAAACAACGAAAACAATAGTTACAACGAAAAAATAACTTAAACGATATATATGTAGAGAGATGACTATTCGAACAAATACACCAACTAAATTAAGCCGACCCTGTAAATTTGCCCATTTTATGTAGACAAAAATGACAAGACAAGCATGTTGTCGATCGTCTCATTTTATTCGATTGATTCTTATGAAACGTAGGTGCAGGTCTCGACGCAGCTGTGGAGGAGGCGTGTTTAGAGAGTAAAGACAGGATATCTTCCGTTTGTAAGAACGAGAAAAACGATATGCCTTTAGTGTGCATTATTTATTGGGGACTTTGCCTTCTTATTTCGACTNTTTATCTCGAATTAGAGGTCAATCGACTTCAAAAATAGTCAGCATTGATGAGAAATGAATGCGTTATTGTTTATTTTTAATTTCATAAAAATATTTTTTTACAAAATAATACATCTGTTTTTAAATTAAAAGTTCCACCTTCTTTTCGTATCCGGGATACGGTTCTGCAACTAATGTTCAAAACCTCCGCCGCTATGTTTATAACGGAGATGTTTTCTCTACTTGTTTCTTTCTTTCTTTGAAAATAATTAATAACATTCCAAACAAGTTTTCTACTCTATGAATTTAAAACTTCTCGGACCATTTCGTTGAATGTTAACAATAAAAACAACAATAGCAACAACAATAACGCCTACAAAAACAACGACAACAATAGTTACGACGAAAAAATAACTTAAACGATATATGTAGAGAGATGACTATTCGCACAAATACAATAACTAAATCAAGCCGACCCTGTAAATTTGCCCATTTTATGTAGGTACAAATGACAAGACAAGCATGTTGTCGATCGTCTCGACAGAATATATTCCGTTTGTAAGAACGAGAAAAACGGTATGCCTTTAGTGTGCACTATTTATTGGGGACTTTGCCTTCTTATTTCGACTATACTATAGATAGTCTGTCTAATATGTATGCGAACTAAACGTCTAGGATGGGGTTAAGGTCATGCGCATTGGCTAGAGAACCCATTCCTTTCGCGGTATCACTTTTACCCTTGAAGCCAAAGGTTGTTCAACAGATTAAAAAAAGACTCATGATAAAATTTTCTCATTTTAAATTCCCGAGAGAATCTCAAGAAATGGACTATAACCTGAGGGATGTTAGTCGAGACAACACAATAAACAAGATAGCTCATCTCAAGTGGATTAACTATTTTCATATAGTCGTCATTCGACGTACGTTGTTGTGGCTTGATATATTCGATGTAACTTTCAACATTATTTGAAATCTTGCTTTTTTTCAAAACGGTTATACTTTCACTATTCCTTTAATATGTTCCAAATTTATTACAAACACATTACCGTTGCGGCTATTTCCAAACTCAATTAATGGCAGCAATTCAGAATACATGTGTTTTGGTTTATTGACATTTATAATTAAGTGGAAACAGGTTGGGGAGAGATAAGATCGTCTTCCGTGCTACCACAAGCAATTTGATTGTGTTGCAAAGGTCGCAAGTTGTTTCCACATTAACTTATTCCGTCATTGACCCAAATTCTCCGTCAAAACTCACCGCAGAGCTTGCATATTTCTTGCCATCGTGTACCGTTTAATGTTCATTCCGAGCTGAACGAATTGAATTATATCTCACGCTTCATAAACCACCACCACCTTCACGCCGAGTATTGCACGAATGATGCAATTTTGTAGCTTTAGGTTTCATTGAAGAAGTGAATTAAAGTCTAAACGGATTAGTTCAGGCAAAGTCAAGCAAAACATTTCACTAAGCCAGTTACGCTTTGCACTTGGCCAGTCTTGCACATAATTGCTTAGATGAAGGGGAAAACTTGAAAAATTTGTGAAGAAATTAAATGTGAAGAGTTCTCGAATAGATAAGTCCCAATAGCTGAACCAATTGCAATAGCAGGCACTTGGTCCTTTGGATTTAAGATGATTTACAAAAGAATCGATGTTGATTGTATATACCGAGATTTAATACGTCATATCCGATGACGTTCAATGTGAAATATGAAATTCTCATAACCAATTGAATCCACTCAAATTTGTATGGAAAGATACAGTGGGATTGGTCAGTGACCATCAAAGATATTTCCAAATTTAGAGCTGCCTACTAAAGAAATAATAAATATTCTCCTAACTTGCACCTTCTTGTATTTTTTCACCTTTATTTTGACACCTTCATACTTAGGATGATTTTTGTGAGGTTAAAAACGACGAATCAACTCGAGTCGATACGTATCAGTTGCTGGCAGTTAGTTGGATATCTAAAAATAGACAGTACAAAGAAGCCGGTCTTTAAAATGTATAAGGAAACCCCATTTGAACTCTTCACTGTGCACATGGAGATAGTCCAAAGATTTTTACGATGAGTTTTGTTCTGTTCTCGTGAACTTTGAACTGCTTACGTTACATGTTTGGACTGCTGCCAACTCTTGCATCTACAATGCACCTTACTATCATCGAAAGAGGTCAAAATTATAAGAAAACAGCTGCATATGTTTCAATATCAATAAAAATATGAGGATTTTTGCCTATTTAGATATTCATGTGTGCTTCCAAAATATAACTAGTAAATTCCTTAAATGGTTAAAAACAGAACAGTATCTTCACTTGATAAAGAACTGTGAAAACAAAAGTAACAGTAAAATGAACTGCGTCATGTATTTTATTCGTAGGTTTCCCAAAAGAAAAGCAATTGGACAATGTCGCATACTTCTAAAAATTCTAAAAGTATTAATCGGTAAGCTTTCCACTTACATGGGCATCTAGTTCAAGCTTTTTGTTGAATGCTGTACGTGTGTGTATTAAGATCCAATCATTTTCCCTAGATGAAACTTTTCCTTCGCTTTTATGTGGAACGTTTGGACATAGGAATTACCGGAAAACCATTACCGAACGTATCAGAAATTTCTCTCTTCTTTTTCTGCAACATTAATTTCCGGCCCATTACCTGCTGACAAAGTGTGGACCATTTCTAAGGTTATAATATCTTTTCTCAGTTATGTGGAGGGGAACCAGCCAAAGTAGGTTCACGCAAAGATTTTCTAGTCGTTAGAGTTTACGATGGGAATGAAGGAGGATTAAAGCCGTAGAGAAATAATTGTTGCTACTGAAACAGGAAGTTTCAAGTTAAAAGCATAAATCAGTCAAAGTTCATAGCAGCATTTACGCCGTTTGTTTAGTCTTTTGTGGATTATTCAAATATTAAAGGCTCTTTCTATGTTTCTGTATGCTACAATTTAAATGTGCAAAGGGACGTTGAAAATGTTAATGCTAGAACAATAATTCATCATCCATGTAAATAATGAACGATAAACGTGGTATGTTAATGAATTTCTACTAAAACCTTTCTCCGAAATAATAATGGAAGCTGAACATGCCATTTCCTGGGGCGTATCAGAGTTAAATGCCAGTTTGCTTTTCCAAGTGAGTGCTTAAATATGCTCGGTGTCCGAAATACAAAATTATATTTCAAATATGAATCCATATTCAATTAGCCTCAAGCACATCCTCTCAAAATTTAAATTATTTATAACTCTCCTTGATAATCTTTTACCTACCTACATAATTAATTTTAGTCAATATAATCTTGCGCGTGTTGGAAAGGTATGTACATTTCCACGAAGTGGTGGAAAATAGATGCACTAAACGATTTACTCATATTTTTAACGTATTTTGTCTTATATTGGAACAGTCAGTTGTAAATTATAAGTAAATAGAAAAAGAAACAAATGAACCGCATGACGCCATCTAACAGCAGAAAATAGAATGAAAACACTAAAGAAGAGATTCCTCTGTGTACAGAGATACCATCCTGATACTAAATAACATCCTATCTAGCACGAAGCGGGATTGTTTCAAAAATACATATTTTTTATAGTAAAAAAAAACACTAAGACAATTTAGAGCCAGTTGAATTAGTTTCAGCAAATGATTTTTTCGTTACTTAAAAATTGAGGAAACGATTTTACAAACGTTAACCTAATGCCTACGTTTTCATTTTATCCCAATACATTATTAAACTCTGTTTTTCTTCGATGTTCCAGTTGTGTTACGGCGCCAGTTCACCAGCCCTTTCTGATCGCAATCGGTTCCCCACTTTGTTTCGAACTCATCCGTCAGCTACCGTACACAACCCCACTCGCATAAAGCTAATGAAAAAATTCGGATGGTCGAGGGTAGCAATATTACAGGAAGCCGAAGAAGTTTTCATATCTACGGTTGAAGACTTGGAAACTCGCTGTAAGGAAGCGGGAATTGAAATTGTTACTAGACAATCCTTCCTTTCGGATCCTGCCGATGCCGTTCGGAATTTGCGAAGACAGGATGCCAGAATTATCGTCGGACTATTTTACGTGGTTGCTGCCCGAAAAGTTCTTTGCGAAGTGTACAAACAACAGTTATATGGAAGGTCGTACGTCTGGTTTTTCATAGGTGAGTAAACATTCTTTTGTTCTTTTCCTCTTTAATCAAAAATCACTTGGAATCTTTAACGACATATTAAAATTAAAAATGAAGCATCATAACAAAGGAGATCCAGACTTCAAGAAATCCAAAACCACTAATTTAACAAATTTAGTTGTAAAGTTAATTGACATTATTGGACTTCTTTTCGACTTCGACCTCATGACGCACATTAAGTTTGACTGATGATGATAATCGAAACAACAGTGCTTCATATTGAAGTCTCTCTGCCAATAAACGAAAGCAATAACAATAGAACTATACCTGGGTTAATTCCCCTACTATAGTTACATACTAGGACACAGAATGTACCCCAAACAATCAAAGACAATTTTACAAGAACAGAAGAAATCTTTAGAAAAGTTCGATTATCTTTCCAAAGCATACATACATTATTCGACTCATAGGATTTTGTGCCATGACTCTGGAAATTTGTCCTCAATGTTCCTAAAAGAGTTTCACTTCAAAACAAAATTAGTGTATACTTAGCATAGATGCTGGCTCTTTTAAACGATACCACTGATACGAATCTAAAATAGGTGAGACCATTTTAGGCTTTAATTTCGTTCTGTCAATTTCTCTTTGCGTGGATTCTGACTTATGTTTGATTTATGTCGTATCGTCATATGAATAGGGAAGTCATTGATTTATCGACGCGACCGAGAAATGTCAGAAAATGTAATGCACGACCAATTTGGTAAGCAATACTACAAAAAAGCTGAGTAGACAAAGCCAATCCAGAGATCTGGTTTCGAAAATTCCCACTTTTTGTGGATATAGCACAAACATAATTAATGTCACGTCAACTGCAATTAAATCTTTTTCTCATTTTCATTGAATTTTTAGTCACACATGCATACCATAAGCACAAGTTAATCCTAATTGATTCCGATCTAAACATCATAAATTGATGTAGATGAAACTATGAGTGATTACCATTTAAAATAAGTCAGTAATATAAAACTGTAACAATGAGATTGAGATGGGAAGGACTAGGATTCAACAGTGTAAAGATGCTACTAACAATAAGTGATGTTACTCGAATTAGGTCCATAACTCTTAACTTCATTTAAATATTTCCGTAAAATTTATATAACAATATACCACTAGCTTTACTTAATTCGGATAGAAGGGACATAATTTCGCATCGGTTGAAGCATTTCAAGCAACATCTGTTGTTGAAAATTGATTTATGATGCGCGTCAACCTTCTTCAATAATACATAAAAGTTTCAGGAGATGTGACGCATTTAAGTGACAGGTCTTGTACATCGGTCAAAAATAAATAAGAAATAATTAAGAATCGGTAAGGATACGTTTCAAATGCTTCATTAAAATTATTTACAATTTAACAAAGACTTCGACAACATTTTATATGAGATTCGTTCAAATCTCAAATCTAGAATGCAAGAAAAGCAGATAAAGTACTGTGAACCTAAAACTAAACATAACACTAAATCCCAAATTTTCACAAAGACATTTAGCAGTTTAAAACGCATTTCGACGCCAAAAAGGTGTCATTTTCAATTAGAAACTCTCACAAGTGCTTCGAGTCTCATACTAGAGAAAGGAGCATGCCCAATTACACTTACCAATTCCCGCAATGGAGTAGCGACGCTTGCTAGAAGAAGAGATAGAAGCAATTGCTTGCTGTCTCACTTATTGTGATTCCGTGACACATAACCCAATGTACAAGTAGATATTAGATACAAGATACACGGCGGTCAGATAAGTAAAGGTTTTAGATGAGTCGAATACCGAGCGTCATAGTCTAGTCAGGTCTAGTAATTCCTTTTTTCGCCTTTCTACCCCTACCATCACCACTCAGGATTCCTAACGAAGGCTAAAGTCTTCGACCTACCAAGTGATATCAAGATATCCATATATTTAAATGGACCTTGTTGGAGCATACGTAATCCTAAAATGTAGCATCGTACTACAGATGGCGTTTACCCCGCCATTTGTGGTATTTTCTAAAACGCGCTGTTAAGACAGCAGGTAAAAGTTGGCCTGTGTTCTGTCGGAGCTGCCTGCGACGCGCTGATGAGATCCAAAAAAATCGAAATCGCGATCCGCTTTTGGCAGTTTCAACAGAATACAGACCACTTCGAATTATTTTATTCGATTATGGTAACGTGCCTATCACGTTGAGGTTAGCTACGCCGAGATTCGTTTCAGCAGGTAGATATCCATATATTTAAATGAACCTTGTTGGAGCATACGTAATCCTAAAATGTAGCATCGTACTACAGATGGCGTTTACCCCGCAATTTGTGGCATTTTCTAAAGTGCTTTGTAGTATAGTGTAGATCGATGCAAGATTCCACCATAGTAATGCTCGATTATATGTTACCAAAATTAAATTAAACTATAAATGGAATATATTGATAGCTAACCGCAAGAATTAATTGTGAAACAATATTTTTGAAATAATAAGTAATATAAAATATACATTTATATTTTAAATTGTCATAAATGAACATTAAAACCCATTATATTCGTGAGAATTTAATGGAAACGCTTCAGATGAGCCATTTTATTGCATCTTGATCTTCGTGCCTTTGACTGGCAAATTACGAACGTCTTTATTTAGTAGTTGGGATATGGAATTTATGTACATAACAACCGCTCATTTTTCATGTAAATCGTGGCAGAGACCGGTTGCCATCTTCCCAAATTTTCGTCGAGATGGTTTATCTGCTTGTGAAGTTTTCCAATTTACTTCCTTCGTATCTCGCAATAAATTTTGATAGAGCAGTCGTTTGATAGTAAAAAGAGGGACGTTCACTTACTCACCCTCGCAGTCGCTATAAAAAGTTTTTCGGAGTCGACGTGGTCAGAGTGTTATGGAGTGGAAGTGGATAGAAAATATAACGTCGTTTACGTTCTCTAAACTGCTTCTATTGGCAGAGTGAATTTTTTTCCAAAAGGAGCTTTAACAGTTTTCCATGTTTTTCTCCTTTCGGGTCATATACTGTTCTTAGAAAATATACATTTTCATTGATATTATCAACTTTACACCAGAAGCAAATAAGGATTCTTACTCTATATTGGGACCAAGTCTCTAACTAAAGTATAAAATAACAAACCAAGGCTCTCTCTTACAAGACTTCATCAGAGTAGGTCTCTTATAAGTAAATTCCTGTTCAACTACTACGTTTCAAGAAATGAGGAAATTGGTTCAATATAGAAGGAAGTGGAGGTCCGTGTCTAATCAGTCTTTGGGTTGAAAACCTTATGATGATGACTCAAAAGTTATGTAAGTAATGTTGTTTAGTCAATCTCCAAAATTCCGTACCTCGAAATGGAAGAATGGTATTTCAAATGTATCCTCTTATTTAAGATGGAAACAATATTGTCAGAATATCAAAATGAAAAAATGATTAAACAACATTGTGCTCATTTACCTTAACTGTACATTTTATATCTATTTTGATATAGACTTCTGTAAAAACGAAAATAAATAATAAAGAAGTCACGACTTTTACTTCATGTAGATTCACCAATCGAAGTTCCTCGTTATTCTGATTAATTATAGTTAATTGAGACGTCAATTATAAGAGCAACGGTGCTTTCTTTGTGTCTGTGTTTTCTTCGACCATTTAATAAGAAAAAAGTGGGCCATCAGCTCCAGGGGAATTACCTTAGGTGTTATTTATCTCGTTATCTTTGGAGAGGCTGGAAAGTCAATAACTGGATCCTAACTTGTCGACTACTGCATTTAATCAGTCAAAAACCGATCACTGCCAGACTTTCGCGTTACTCAAATTCGAAAGAAAATTAATGGCCAGATGTTTTGCTCGTTTTATCAGAAAACGGATTACCAACCTCGGAAGAAGTACGGGTGGATCTGAGATACGGAATAAAACCGACATTATTCGCTTTTTTCCCTCGTCATCCCACAAGACAGTTTAAAAGCACGCTTCCCTACTTCAGAACTAAGAGTTACGCTTAATATTTATCAGTTTAAACCGTTCCTTTTCGTGTTTCGTGAATGTTTTATGAGTGAACGTCATAGTGAAATATTTAAGGATAAAAATGGAAGAAATAACAATTTTTCTAATGGACACAGTTTACCTCGGGAAACTATCAGAATATTTGACAAATATCCTTCATCCACACAATATTCCAAAATTCCTCATTAATACGAATTTTGAATAGACCAGAGATATATTTCAAGACGCCAAAAGAGCTGACCAAAATTGGAGATTTTACTGAAAAAACTGACTAGTCAACTGTTTTGAAATATATCGGACTATAGAGTAACCTAATCAATAGCTCATAGAGAAAATATATTATCACTTCCTTTGCCTGATAACAAAAGATCAGACTATACAGTTAGATACGCCGAGAGATAATGATAAAGTTTAAGAAATGAAACTTGACATCCAAAATCCAAAGTTTTTACCTTCTATTCGCATATAACTGAACAACTGAAATAAAACTTAAAAAATAGTACGTATTGGTAAAAACTACGTATATATGTATTCTTACTAAACGGTAAAATTTAAAGAATATATTGAACTTTTTTCTCATTTGTAACGCGGTGTTATCAGTACTTAGTTTAAAGCGATAATTTGTCATCATCACTTTCTCAACGGCAGCTGTTTGCTCCCAACAACTGCTTGAAGTAGTTGCTCAATATTTAATTAATAAATGAAGAAAGTTTTAATATCAGCCATCACGGAAACGTCAAAATACATATCCATGAAAATAATTTATTAGGTAGATGCTAACTGTTAAAGTTCAACTTCTCCGAAGTAAACTTTTCCCTTTCAATAGGATAGCTTCGTAAATCATTTAGCTAAGGCAGCTTGTTTTTCATTATTAATATCGAGAGGTAACTTAAAGAAGTGGATTGCTTTACAAAATAGGTTTCTAGGTATCTTTATCGTTTCTTGATAAGAAGGTCACAAATATTAGAACGTATCCACAAGGAGACGAGCAGGTGAAATATTTTGTTTTACAATGTGAAATTGAAGACATATGAATTCCTCATACGCTTAAAGTTTAATTGAACTCATACCACGTTACGCATCAAACTACTAACAACTTATTGAGACTATTAAAAAAAGTTTATAACTTGTTTTATTTCTATTCCAACTTATGGTGTTAGGAGCAGAAAATTCAAAATTGAAATAGGCAATTCCATGGATCTTCAACACAAGCTTCTGGTATGGTAGACAAAAGGAGTGTACGCCTTCAGCTGAATAATGACCTAAAAAAAATTCTGAAGGTCAAAAATTGGTAAAATATTGATGGGATGACCTGATCCTGATTCAGTACCCCGGTTACCCCACTACTGTTGTTAAATACTATGTTGCATTGAAGGTGCTCGAAATATTGTTCTCCCCACTTCCAATGTAATTTTAGCGGCTAGAAGGATCAATTATTTGTCTGTGCTCATTTCGAAAACCATGAATACGTAATAATATCCACTTTTATTTTGAACTTTCATACTCAGTCGCCGCTTGATTTGTCTTGTTTAAAAATTTAAAGAGGTGAAATTGCTCACTTGTTCTTGATAAAGATTTTAGGGATCTATATTATTGAAACACAAAACTTTTGTTTGCAATTCTGGTGTTTAGACGGTTCGTTTAATAATTAATTCCAATTTGAGCGGATTCCCCTCAGTTTAGATATCTAGGTCAATAGCAAAATTTTCATTCCATTCTGTTACATGTTAAATTAATAACGTTGGAAGATACGGTCAGTAGACGAGAGGGTAGAACATACGAGACGCAGCCAACTCCTCCATAAGATAATAGTTAGTAACACGAACGTTCCTGGGGCGGTTGTAAAGTTCTCATCTCCTCGCCATTTTATTCAAGTGTGACGTGATTTAAAAGATTAGCGCCGTCATGATTAAATATTAAATTCGCTTAATGGTTTGTTTCGGCTGGTTGTCAGGGACCGTTGCATAATTCCGACGGTTCGAGCTGCTCAATAATTAAAAGACCGTTCGAGGACGACAAAGGGGACGCCCGTACGTGAACATCTTCAAATGTATAATACGGCCTCGAATAAAGGCACGAAGCTTGCAGTTCGTTTCTCTGGATTTCACAATGGAGCTGTAATTTTTCTTTACGTTCAATTCCCGCTTGCACTGCCCCAGACCGTCAACGGAGCCGTGACTTCGAAATAGGCCCCATTATAAACACAAACAACATGCTACTACACTGTTTGTGTTCAAATAAAAATGAGAAGGAATTATTCAGAGGTCTTCCTCACTAATAATGAGACTGGACTGTGCTTTGTCGAAACTTGGATTGCATGGCACTAATATTTAACTGACCACGGAGAAAAAAGCGAAATAGATATGAGTAGTTGTGGGTCAGGAAATTTTAGACATAGGTACTTTCAATTAGTAGTTCGCAGTACAAGTTTCTTGAAATTTGCTAAATTCCTTAAATAAATTTCGCTTTTAAACCATGTTTCTGTTTTAATATAAATAACTGCAACCAAAACCTAGCTCTGAAGTGGTCAAAGAAATTTAAAACAAAAATTGCAGGCATCCCTTCATATTATTGATATCTATCGATAGAAACCTGGATATAGCAATGAAAAGAAAATGTGGGTGACTGGGCCACATCGTAATTTCGTGGTGAAGCGAACTTGTTAATTAAATGAAAAATAAATTGGTTAGGAGTATACCAAAATATATGACTGTTCCATTAATTGTTGGAGGCGGCGATTAACAAAATCCTTGGACTTTTAATTAAAAAGAAACGGCGTGACAAGATCAATGAGGGACTTTCCCGATTTACAATTTCAGAAAATGTATCTTCAACTTTACTCAAACGTTACCTGTTTTCGATGTCTATCTTACTCATATAACTATGTACATGTATGTATATAGAAATCCATTATAGAAATGAGTATACACAAAGAACGATTGAGTCGATTACGTAAAAAGGTAATTTTAATTGATAAATGATTAATTAAATAACGCCTTCGAAATGACAAATATAGCAACTGATTAAATGAAATGGTCCACTTTAAATTGCGAATTTCTATCATCGTTCCGCGTCTGATTTTCGACTAGAGGAAATTGAAAAGTCGAGTATGTGTACGGAGCTGTTCAAACGTTTGCAGCTTCATCTCATTCGCTCCTTTCTGCTTTCGATCTAGCAATGAATGCAATATAAAGTGACAAGTGAAAAGGGCAACATTCAGCAGCGTATCAATTTCAGGGACTTGCCGCCGTAACCGCTGCCGTCGTTCCTTCGTATCCCAAAGGAACATATACGAACATAATTTACGTGAAACCACAAGTCAATTCGAGACAGACATGCCACATGTAAAATTGCAGATAAATCGTACATGATATAAAGTGATACTATAATATAAACTGTTTTGCTTATATATTATAAGGATGTAGGATATTGGTAAGAGAATAAGGATTTGTATGAAAACAAAGGTTACTGGTTTTTAGACTTACGTAAAATTAATGTCAATAGTCTAATTAGATGGTATCTATTTGGTATATTTTGGAGTTTGATGGAATTGTAATTATTGTAAGAACAGTAAAACCATCTAAAAGTTAGAAAACAATTTGCATTAAAATGTGATCGTTTATAGAAGTGATCTTTATAATTTTGCCAAATGATACAGACGATAAGTGAACTAACTGTGGCAGTTTTAGCAAGATTTCGGTATTGAGAGGTATACAGCAAATTCCATAAAATACCCCAAGAAGCTAAAATCTCAGCTATACGAGAGGGGTGGTCGCTTTGTTGAATTGGCGGAAATGATTTTACTGAATTTATGAAAGAATGGTACCGGGACTTCATCATCATCATCATCATCATCATCATCATCATCATAAGGTCGTCAGTCCTAAGACTGGTTGGACACGAACCTCCACTCTTTCTTATCCTGAGCTAAACTTCGCATTTTCTTAAAACTAGAACAGCCTACATCCTTAACTATTTGCGAACAGTAATCTAATCTACGTCTACCTCTACCCCTCTTAACTCTTGTTTCTGCCTCTAATAGGTCTCTGACTAGACTTTCATGCCTGAGAAGGTGTCCTACCAACCTATCTCGCCTATTTTTTATTGACTTCCATAGAGTCCTCTGTTCTCCTACTCTTTCCAATACCTTTTCATTTCTAACCTTTTCTACCCACGATATCCTCATCATCCGCCTATAACACCACATTTCGAACGCTTCTAACCTTTTCCTTTCCGCCGCGCCTACTGTCCATGTTTCGCACAACACCGTGCTCCAAACATACACCTTTAACAACCTTTTACGAATTTCTAAATTAACCGTTCGCGAGCATAGTGACTTCTTTTTATTAAAGGCGACACGACCCTGTGCTATCCTCTACTTTATATTCCTACTACTCCTTCCATCGTGACTTATCTGACTTCCTTGGTATCTAAAATCAGCCATTTCTTCTAATTTTTCGTCTCCTATCTTTATATTCGCTCTTTCCCTACTTTTTCTTCCCTTGCATACCAGTATTTTAGTTTTACTTTTATTTATTTTCATACAGTTCTGATCTGTCAGTACCGCTTCCATTTTATTTAAAGCTATTTCTAAGTCCTCCTTGCTGGATGCTAATACTGCTATATCATCTGCAAATCTAAGCATACTAATCTTTTGCCCTTGTTCATCTATCCCTACAGTTGTACTGTCTTTAATGATGTTGATCGCGTCTTCGATGTATAGATTAAAAAGTAGCGGTGACAGTGTGCATCCCTGTCTGACTCCCTTCCAATATTTACTTCTCTACGTTGCAGCCCCAACTCTATAACTGCCTGCTGCTCTTTATACAAACTAGGTATCACTCTTCTATCTTTGTAACCCATCCCTATATTTTTAAGTATATTTAACATCTTGTCCCATTTAACATTGTCAAAAGCTTTCTCTAAATCTACAAATCCTATGTACGCACTCTTTCCTTTTTCTATCGTTTTCTCCAAATGCAAAATACTAATCTCCTATAAATTTTTAAGGTAATTCGGTATTTAGTTTTGGTTAACAGATTTAATAATTCTTATTTTCAGCTGTACACTACGTTAGAGAAATCATAATTCCCAAAATTTGAATAATGTGCCAACAGGTTCCTACATCCCTTTGGAGTTATCTGATATATTGGAATTTTTTTTAAACAAACGTTCTCACTTAAAATGTTTAATTTCAGGTTGGTATGAAGACGACTGGTTCGTCAATAATCTTCAAAAGGAGAACATTAACTGCACTGCCCATGAAATGCGTATTGCTGCAGAAGGCCATTTGACAACGGAGGCGCTCATGTGGAACCAGAACCGAAATGAGAAGACCATCTCTGGAATGACAGCGGACGAATTCCAAAACCGTCTCAACAAAGTTTTAAAGAACGACGGTCACGACATTGATCACAAACGTTATCCCGAGGGATACCAGGAAGCACCTCTGGCTTACGATGCCGTATGGGCTGTTGCATTAGGTGAGACACTTAAAACACTCGACGTGTATCACATTTTTGCTTATTTTTTACAAAGGCGTGATATCGGATTTAGTAATAGCTGTAAAAGGAGGTGTATCTCAGGGGTCACATTGCGGCCCTTCACTTTTTCGTTTGTTGAGAACACTCGGGCTTTAATTTTTGCAGACGATATGAAACAAATTTTATGAATAAACATACATACAATTTAGACATCTTTCAGAAGTGAGTTAGTTTAATATGAAATATTATTCTGAAAATTCATTTCTGAATTTTTACCCACTACACACTACCTCAAATTAATGAGGGAAAAATTGTTGTTGTTGTCACACCTCCGCCGCGAATCGAACCCTGGACCTTTGGCTTTACGCACCAATGCTCTAACCACTAGGCTACGAGAGATGACAACGACAAACCGTACTTATTAGGTCACAAATCATCGAACTAATGTAACTACATACCGAATATAATTCCCTCATTAATTTGAGGTAGTGTGTAGTCGGTAAAAATTCAAAAATGAATTTTCAGAATAATATTTCATATTAAATTTTATGAAGTTATTCATAATGATCGTAATGGAGCCTTATTTCAGTACTAATTGTATGCTACAATCGAATAGTTTTTCGTCCATAAGGCTAATAAGCTCTTAAAAGTGTATGACCTTGGTATAATGCTGGGCTCACAATTTTCGTTCTAACCTTATGTATCAGGTATGTGTGTTACAAACCTTAACGAACGCTGTCTTTAATAAAATATTCCCTTGAATCGAGTAAATGTATGTATCGTTGGCTCATGTAATCTTTCTTTTCAAGCCTTAACCATATGTCTCCTCAAAACGTTAATTTTGTTTAACTTTGCATGATAAGTTTAGAAAATACACTCAAGTCGTCGCCATTTTACCTTACCGGCAATCAAAATAAACAAGTGAATGAAATGAAGTAGAATGAAATGAAAGAACTGTTTTATTTTACAAATTTGTTACTAATCCGCTTTCAACATCGTTTAAAAACTTGATCGGAGTTTTCTAAATACCGTAGAATACTATTCGCTTTATGAGTTGCACGAATGCCAACATTGTAAAATGTTTTATGAAGTTCATTTTGAATAATTTTCCACATTTTTAGATTGCTTGCGAAGGCTGCATAATACGATCATTGTTCAGTTACCGCATTTTTATGACGTCAAACGTAGTCTACCTTTTCTATCAATGTTATAAATGATTAAAGGTCGGTTTTATTTTATTCCGTACTTAAGTGAATTCAACTGCCTTTCAACAGGACCATTAATACTTAATTTCATCCTTAACACCCACCGGCTTGTAAATTAAACAAATGCTTCCCACAAATACCGTTCGTTAATTATTAAAATCTCCGCTCATTGACTTCTAATGACATTATGGTTACGCAAAGTCGTTAATAATTTATTGTTTCCCTTTGTTCCACAATCAATTTACGTATGGAAGAAAGATTACTTCAATCGCTGGCGGAAGCTCTATTAAATGTATTTATTGATTGCTATGGTCATTCTCAGTCATCAATCTTTTTTAATATTATTCTGTAACTGTAATTCAAAAATGATGGAGAAGTTTTGTAAAGTCCTAACTAGAAAACTTAGAATATGCAATTGGGACTAGGGCAACTTTTGGTCATCAAAATTATGCACAAATTACCTACAGTATATCTGCTTCGTACCCAATGATAACTGCGACTATGGAGTGTATACTTCATTTACTTTCTCTAGCGATTTGCCCCTTTCAATATTTTGAATGCGCGCTGGCAAAATCGTAGGTAGGGCGAAAAAAGCTCATTATACTCTCGACTCTTATTCATTAAACATCCTTTTTCGTACAGTACCTGCCAAAAGTTTTGTTCAATCACGAATAGTAGTGCGAGTCGAAAACAAGCGTTAAAGCCTTTAATATGTCTTCAAATATAAATAAACATCTCGTTGATATTTTCAGTATTAATTGATACCAATAACAGTACATTTGAGCAATTCAATTGTAGTGGATGTAATGGTCAATTTTTCCGTGCAGTACTGTACGGATTGTACGCTCCTCACCGGTTAAGAGTTTGGCCGAGAGTCGTCTCCTTCCTTTTCTGACCTAGTGCTGTTCTTTTCTACTTTGCGCCGGTCAAACTCAAGGTCACATCGCTACAGAAACTAAACGAAGTATAACTCAAGAGCTGTTAGTTATGTTGCAACGTACTGAATAAATAATACCATGTTTCACCTTCTTAATGCGAACTCGAGTCAACAAATGGCACCCAAGGGAATGGTGAAAATTAATCTCAGCGGACGGTGTCTGAAACGCCTCAATGTGTATATTTCATCGCCAATTAATTACTGTGGTATACCATTGTATTAATGAAGATTCGCGAAACTATAACGACGGTAATCCGCAGGAACCCCCCAATGAATAATAATTAAAAGCTTCTGACCGAAACAAATTAATGATTGAACATCTTTCAAACCATAGCACACGGTTATGGTTATTATGAGTTACTTTATAATAATTTCGGCTTTAAAGTCGTTAATAAAATCGAAAATTAACATGAAATATCATTCTGAAAATTCATATATTCAGTATATATAGTCACATTAGTACGACGGATCGTTAACCTTGTAGGTCGGTTGGACGTGGTTGCTGTTGTCACCTCTCGTAGTTTAGTGGTAGAACATTAGTGCGTAAAGCCAAAGGTCCCGGGTTCGCTTCCCGGCGGGGGTGTGACAACAGCAACATTTTTCCCTCATTAATTTGAGGTAGCGTGTAGTGGGTATAAAATTCAAAAATGAATTTTCAGAATAATATTTCATATTAAACTATAACTCACTTCGAAAAGATGTGTAAATTGTATGTACGAAAATTAACATGTGAATTGTTTTGAATAAATGACCATCGTATTATTTAACATGCAGAATTCATCACGATCATTATAAGATCGTCAGTCTTAACAGGATTGGACACGCACCTCCACTGTTTCCTATCCTGACTTAATCATCACATTTTCTTAAAAGTAGAGCAGCCCATATCCTTAACTATTTACGAACAATAATCTAATTAGTGAAGACAATTTCCATCATCATAAGGTCGTCAGTTCTAAGACTGGTTGGATAAGCTACTCCATTCTTTGCTATCTTACATCCTTAACTATTTGCGAACAGTAATCTAATCTAGGTCTACCTCTACTCCTCTTAACTCCGGTTTCTGACTAGCCCTTCATGACTAAGAAGGTGTCGTACCAACCTATCTCGTCTATTTCTTATGGACTTCTGTTATCCTATACTTTCTAATACCATTCATTTCTAACCTTCTCTGTTCATGGAATCCATCTTCTAACCTTTTCTCTTTAAAGGCGACTCGACCCTGCGCTATCCTCTGCTTCATATGACAATTTCCAAAACAAAATAATTTAACATTCCGAATTTACACCCATATCTCGATCAAAATTACGTAAAGGTATCCATGGATGGAATCATATACTATTGTGTTTTTAATTTAATTCTTTTGGGAGTGACATTTGATACATTTTTCTACTCTCTTGTGTATGTTTTTTATATTTCTGGATTATCGTTCGTTCTCTAACGAGGTCTCTCCTGCCAAATTACGTGCGGGATGAAAAGCTAATAAAACAAAAAAGACCACTCAAGTAGCTTCCTTTCTAATCATCCCGACTGTAAGTACCTAGTTGATCTTCTGACGCAAGTCCATCAAGTCCGCTTTTTTATGAGCGTTGTTCATATGTATATGTCAGGAATAAAATAACGTTTAATCGAAAATGGCGTCTGTCATAAAGAAAACGGTTTTATAAGAGTTAACGAGTCAACATAAAAAGAGAGTTGTCAAGTTGCCGCAATGGCGTATGCTGAATAATTACATCGTGCATTGATTTGAAATTCAAAACAATACTTTTCATGACCCAAAATGATGCCCGTCGAATACGTTTAAATTTGAAATCGAACATTTTTTATAGATCAATCAAATTTATCTCTGCGATTTGACGAATTGTTTTACAGAACTGCTATAAAAGAGTTAGTCTATAGAACCTTTTTATGACTACGCATTACATGGTGTATGCAGTGTGTTGTATAAAAAATGATTTGGTTTTACCATTATTTTATTCTGGACAGGATGGAAGAAAATCGACGTAATTATAGCGCAATATATTTTCTCAATATAATTAGTCAAAAAATTAGATATTATTGTAAATTGTCAAGATTGATATGAACATATGTTGCTATACATGTTTTCTATAGTTTTGGTTTAATAATGTTCCTTTACAACTCTTCCACCATTGTAACATTAAATGGTACTAAAATAAACGAAGGTTTAACCTACCTGTATGCTGTAATATGTATTCATTCGGGATTATAATGTTAAGGAGAGAGAAAACATTTGAAGACTTCACCATTAATAGTAAAAAGTCAACGAATTACACGTAGACACACACTTATAACAGTGAATTGTTATCAAATAATTAACAGTTTCGCGCATGCACTTGAGAAATCAAATTAAATTAGTGTAACTTACTTAAATTAACGAAATACAAATTCAGACAAGTCATTTGCAACAAAAGAAAGCTCAAGAAACCGAGAGCAAAACGGATCGAATAAATATTGTCCTCGAAAGGTGACTGAGTAACCGAGTTAACTCCGATAAACCGGCCGTGCACTTTGTGAAAGGTACTGCATAAAGCTGGCATGTCGTAATAAGACGACGCTGCGCAAACTTCGCATTTTACATGTCTAATAAATTCTAGTCGGATGCGCAGATCTTCCGCGGTTTAACTCCTCGAGTAGCACTGACTCTGGCGTAATCACACGAATTTTGACGAGATGTGATTTATTTATAGACATGAATCTAACGAAAATAAACAACACTGGAAACAAAATTAGGAGATTGTTGTTGGGCTATTGGGGTGCTTTTCGAGATCCATTTTAACCTTCACGAATAAATAATGTAATAGTTCTGATTTTATTGTCATTGCAAATTTCTAATGCTATGGTCATAGTTAAATTCTAAGCATCCTTCCAACGTGTTCTGTCGTGAACCATGGAATTTTGCTTTTTGAGACGTTCCTCCATTATCTACTGACGGCATCTTACACAAGTGGTGACTTAGTTTGACTAAAGGCTGTGCTGAATCAGCCCCAGCTTGGTTATTGTTGAAGATGTCGTCAACAAAGGATGGCAAAATGTCTGACAAGGCAAAATTCCAAGGAATTTTACGACAAAATGCCCAGAAGAAAAGCTGAAAACATAATATTCCTAAATTTTTCCCAACGACTGTTTCATACAACGTCCATATGTCTCTTACCATCTTTGTTTTCTTTCAAAAAATATCTGTACAAATCAATTTTCTTTTTGAAAAATTACCTACACTTTAAAATAGTTATGACAGGAAACGTTAATCAAGGAAATTTACGTACATAACCTTATATTTGATATTCTGTATGTGATACCTTTTGTTCTTCCATTTTATTAACGTTTGGGAATCGATGAATAAATTTATTCATTTGGCATGGTATTTTACAATGTAAACGACAATTCTATTTGCCTGCTATAAAGCTCTACCATATTACATTCCAAAGCTTTAACCCTGACTTTGCTCAGTAGAAAAATGCCTGTTACTAATATTACGTACTCAATCACGTAGGATATCATCAGGGTCTAAAAATCTGACACGGAAGAACATTTCATACGCATCAGACAATCGGAAGAACCCTGAAGATTTCCTGTGTGATCGTAGATGGAACATCAACATAGTGCAAAAGATGCAGAATCCTGAATTTTACCGGAAGCAAAAGTCTACTAAACTCGAAAATTCTTTTCCTCTAAACCCCCTTTCATCATCATCATCATAGGGTCGTCAGTCCTAAGACTGGTTGGACAGGTACCTCCACTCTTTCCTATCCTGAGCTAAACTTCGCATTTTCCTAAAACTAGAACAACCCACATCCTTAACTGTTTGTTAACAGTAATCTAACCTAGGTCTACCTCTACCCCTCCTAACTCCTGTTTCTGCCTCTAATATGTCTCTGACTAGACCTTCATACCTGAGAAGGTGTCCTACCAACCTATCTCGCCTATTTTTTATTGACTTCCATAGAGTCCTCTGTTCTTCTATTGTTTCTAATACCTCTTCATTTCTAACCTTTTCTACCCACGTTATCCTCTACCGATCCTGTATGTATTACTCTAAAGTCCCCACTCCAGAAGTCTCCAGCTTCGGGCCAACGGACTTCACTAATGCCTACTATATCTAATTCTAATCTATCCATCTCTACTTTTACATTGTCTAATTTTCCTACTTGCCTCATTGTTCTAACATTCCACGCTCCGACTCGTAAAATATTGCACCTATCCCTATTGCACTTATTGATGACATCTCCCGAGGTAGTCCCCGCTCGGACATCCGAATGGGGGACTAGCTTACGTCCGGAGTGCTTTGCCCCAGAGGACGTCATCATTTAATTTTTGCGTGCGTTATACTCGGGATCATAATGTGGTGGTTTCCCGTTGCCTTCCACATCGCAGTATTATGCATCAGGGTGCCATACCGATCCTCGTGATCTCTGCTACCCTGAGTACTGAAAGAGCTGCTGCCTTCTTTCAGGGACTTGTCTTAGTTTGGTTTCTCTTTAAGAACCCCTCCATCACGGTTGAACCTATGGTCCGGCTTCCTAAATCATCGAAACTCGCAAGCCGATCCACCCACTCTAGTTTGTGGATATTCCTTTTACTGAACAGTCCGACGTTTCGCTCAGAGTTTTTAAGCATTCCAAGTGGATTTGTTTGAGTCAAATGAAAAAGGTAGCTAGCACCTTCAGTTAAACAACAACAGCTAATGGTATGTAAATTTCTTCAGAAACATGGGATTGTTTGGTAAAAAAAAATTTAAAGATCGTATTAAGTATGAAGTAAAGAGACAATATCAACGTTTACAAAAGAACCACAAAGCAATATTTTAAATGGCAACGTTTCGCGCGTGTTTTAATTAATCAAATTTGTCGAGCTGAAGGGCGTGATGATATACGCGGTTACGTCGGTTAATTAACTCTAATAACAATTCGGTAATTAAAGAGGTGATTAATGAAACGTTCTGTATGGATTTCGCAGGTACCAAGCTAATGGATACTGAAAATTACCAACGGAAAAATGTAATTAAAAGCGTGGTAATACTACGCTGAAATCCCAGCAGAAGAACTGGGCTGCACAATTATTTGAATTAGACCTGTTACCTCTAATATTCATGCTATAATTTACACGCAGAAGTTTCTAAAGTCACGGGTGAATTATTAATATCAGAAATCAAAATACTCTTTGACCGGGCTTAACCTCATTGGTGAAGGTATGTCTGACTTTTTAGGATTACTATTTCAATCTGAAATCCACTGAAAGGTTTCGCCAGATAGTTGCAATCAAAGCGTACTTATGTAGATTCCTATACTAACTGGATTTATTGACCTAAATTGATGATCCAACACACACAAATAATTAAATTATCATAAATATAACCTTTTAAAGCCAATACGATGTCTTTATAATGATTAATTTCTAAATTTTCAACCTAATCTTGTTATAAAATTGAGCATCCAATTTCAAATACCTAGGTAAACATATAGACCAAAGGGTAAAGGTTATTTGGCACCAAATTCATAATTCTGTTAATTACTAAAACAGGCTAATGCTAACTTTTAGCTAATCATATAAGTAAGTGTTGGCATTGAGCCAAGGGAGGTATTGGTAAGGGCAATTCGTCTTTGTTTCGCCCGGCGACTGATAACAATCAAGTTGGAGTTAATTAATATCAATCTTTATTGGTAAAGATATATTAAACACTAAAATTGATCTAACAAATTTTAACTCTTTATATAAAAAGTTCTAACATCCACTAAAGTCGTCGCACTGTTAAAACAAAGAGAACAAGAATTTACTGAACAGTTAGGAAGCAACTGTCGAGTCGTTAAAATTGTTAATTAAGAGAATAGATATTAATAGTATTTTCATTTGTTACAGCTTTTAACAAAACAATGAACCACCTTCATAAGTACGGCAAGAATCTCAAAGATTTCAATTATAACAATAAGGAGATAGCAGACGATATTTATTCAGCCATCAATTCCACACAGTTTCTAGGAATATCTGTAAGTATACCCACGTGTAGCAGATAGCATATGATACCTAACCAACGATACAACATGATTTTAATTTCTGTAATTTCGTCCTAAAACTAATTAATCAAAAAATCGATGCTAGTGATTTTGTTTTCTTTTGACTCATAAATTTCTTTGTGCATTATCAATTCGACATAAAAGCTAAAAGTATGCATTAAAATCAACTCTAAAATTACTTACAATGTGAACATTCAAAAGCAGTTTTGTTGTTCTGTTTACTTAATGTCCCATGAACAACCAGCGCTGGAATCAGTAAATATTATTCTATCTTTCATTTGTAAGATCAAAACCGTTTTCAAACAGAATGATATCGTCCTGTCAATTATAGAAATGATTTAGCCTTCTTCTTCCTTTGTATTTTCAAAACTGTTACATTCGTTCAAGTACGTGTAAACTAGACGTTACATTGAATCCATAAATGAAAGAGAACTTGATGTTGGAATGGAAGGTGTGGAGAGGTGAACAAGTAGAGAGACCTTTATCGGTGACAAGTCGTATATTTCAGGGAATGGTGGCATTCAGTTCCCAGGGTGACCGTATTGCTCTCACTCTGATAGAACAGGCCATCAACGGAAATTACGTGGTGCTCGGTTACTTCGACACCCAGGCTGACAATCTCACTTGGTACGATCGGGAAGTGTGGATAGGTGAGTTTCGTTATTATTTTGTCAACCGACCTGACAACGCCATTACACAGTTTATTAGAGGCTGATAGGAACAAGGCGTCGGCGACGCCTGCAATCATGAACTGAACCGATTTAATAACAAAGCTTCAAATGAAATCAAATCTTTTTACTACGGAACACAGTAGTTCGAATAATGAAGCAGCACATTGCTATGTACGAAATCACAACAGGGCCAAGCTTGATCCAAAGATTGTTCAATTCTAGTCCGACATTGGCAACCAATTTCTTCCGTTGGACCAAGCATGTCTGACAGCCAATGCCAAATCAATACTAATCCAAGATTCGACAGCCAATAATTTTAAGTCAATACTTAATAAAAATATTAGCCCATAATTGGGTAGTTAATACTGAACCAAGAATTGGTAAACTTAAAATTAGGCAGCTAATATTATGTCAAAACATAATGCACAAATCTAATCCAAAATATCGCTTTCTAAGTTGGCCAATACTTCGTTGCCCAGTACTAAATATACCTTGGCGAAACGTTTATATACCTAGCCTTGGCACTCAAAAGCTTGACCGAACTTTGATCCAATATTGACAAATCCATACTTGACTGGCTAGTATTAGACCAAACTTGGTAAAACGTAAATAAACTTAACCCTGACATTTCAATATTGCCCAAACATTGGACCAGTACTGACAAGCCAATGCTTAGCTGTTCCAGTCTTAGACCAAACTTGGCAAAATGTTAATGTACCTAGCCTTGGCATTTGAAGATTGGCCGAATTTCAAACCAATATTGACAAGCATATGCTTGGCTTCTCATTACTGGTCCGAGTTTGGACGTGTCATCATGTCCGGCATTTCCTACATGGGTTCTTAATAATACGTTGTTAGTTTTTATTTTGGAATTCCTGCCTGGAGACTTGGTCCAACACTGTTCAGTTCTAGTCAGACATTGACAACCAATATTGGACTAAGCATGACAAATGCCTGATTTATCTCTTCGGCCCAAGCCTGGTTGCCAAGCTTAGTCCACGACTGGACAACCAATGCTGAACCAAGACTTTATGAACTACATTAGCCCAAAATTAACCCAATTTTTGGCAGCCAATATTGCACCAAGATTGAAAATTAGTGAACAATATTAACCGAAGATTATACCACGACTTATGAAATAAAATTAATCCAATAATGGGTAACTGCGTTGCTTTCCATATTTCCCAATACTTCCTTGCCAAGTATTGAATATAACATGGAGAGACGTTTATGTGCCTAGCCTTGAAACATGAAGATTGACTGAATTTTGTTCCAGTATTAACATAACCATACATGACTATCCAGTATTAGACAAAACAGTAAAACGTTAATAAACCTAGCCATGGTTTTTGAAAATTGCCCGAACTTTGGGCCAGTTTTGAGAAGCTAATACTTAGCTGCCTCAATATTGGACCAAACTTGGCCAAACGTAAAAATTTACTTAACGTTAGTGTTTGAAGATTGATCTTTGAACCAACATTGACAAGCCTATGCTTGCCTTCCCACTACCTCACTAATGGGTCGAGTCGTTTTGCCAACTGAAGTGGTCGGTATTACGTAGATACATACTCATTGAATATTTATTTTTAAATTACGTTCAAATATTATTAATGTTACCTACCATCAATATAAATATAAATAGAATATTCATTCGGCTATTCAAATATGAATAAAATTATATAATAGCACGTAAGTGTATGAAGGATGCAAATGAAATTGGCTAGAAGGTGCTATAAAATTTAATAAGCAATAAAACATGATGGTAGACGCAAGATAAGTGAACAATCTACAATTACACAATACACAAGAGCAATCACAATACATCCTACTGAGTCCACGTCTGTATAACTACTACTTTGGGGTGCAGTTTACACCCTACCGATCGTTCAAAAACCGAACACGTGCATTCGCAACCCATTCCCTGATCTCTGTCGCTCTTGCTCTCATACTCCCAGCGTTCATCCACTCTCTCGCTCACTTTTACGTACTCTTTGCATTTCATATCTACATTGCTACATATGATATCACGGAACGATTATGAGCATGGTCAATACCTCCCGTAGGAAAAATTTCCATTCAATTTTCATTAAAAAAATGCCATTAAATTACCACTGATAATAATTAATGGTAATAAATGGAGAATTGTCATTGGGATTCCCATTCCCGAACTCAATGGGATTTCCATTGCTAAACGCACTGGCATTACCATTGCTGAACGCAAGTACCTGAACCAAGACACGTGTCTGGATGTCTGGCTCTTCATCATTGTGTTTAGATTTTTTTTCACTTGCTTCTGATAAAACTACATCACTCTCACAGATGACTTCAACCTCCTCTATATTCTGGCATAGTTCAAAATCATCAAACAATACTTCTAATGTAGGCTTTTTCACTTCTGTAGGGGTTGTTTAATAAAAGGCTCCGGGTAGTTGAATACATATATAATAAACATAATAATGAATATAAACAGCAAACAGCAAACGAGTAACAAACAGGAACTAAATATATACAACTTATATACAATATTCAATGTATCGCGTCTTCCAAAATACATAGGTCTTCGTGTAATCACCATAAATATGTCTTCTGTCTTTTTTGAGCAAAAATGCTCAACGTCTAAATGAAATATACCGTTTTAATCAAACATCTTACCACCTTGCTTGCCTCTCACTCTATTGCCGTGGTGGTCCCTCACGTACCCCCAACATGCACGCATAGGTAAAACTAGATTATTGATTTTCCACCACCTAATTGGCAATATCACTACTCTTGCACCTGGGCAAGCAAAAACTGTATCGAAAAAGGCTAATAGTATATGTGGCCAGGAATTATATTGTAAATGGAAACAATTATTTTTCCATTTATGCCAAATGGTTTTGAATGGAATTTACAAATTTTCCATTGATTCCCATTGAAGTTCAATGGAATTTTTTTCTACGGGGAATTATTGTAAATGGAAACAATTATTTTTCCATTTATGCCAAATGGTTTTGAATGGAATTTACAAATTTTCCATTGATTCCCATTGAAGTTCAATGGAATTTTTTTCTACGGGGAATTATTGTAAACGGAAACAATTATTTTTCCATTTATGCCAAATGGTTTTGAATGGAATTTACAAATTTACCATTGATTCCCATTGAACTTCAATGGAAATTTTTCCTACGGGCTGCTCCAAAAGTTTTAAAAACTCTAATAAAATGTTAAGAGATTCCTTCGGAAAAATAGTAAGTAGCTGTAGGATCACGTAACTTCTGATTTTTTTAGGGATTAAGAACTGCATATTCATTACTGAAGCCTAACCTACAGATAACAGTAAGCAATGTCATTATTCCGTTACTTTTCTACATGAATCCATAACGAAATTAATAAACTAATTTGATTACCTACCAAAACTAATTCATCCCAGGACCTAACCTGGGAATGTCGGATATTACAATTTTGTTGGTTTTAATTTAATTTTACCATTACATTCCTACATGTGGTGGTAATTGAATTTGATGCAATTATGAATTAAAGCAAAACACTACAATTGCATATAGATAATATTATGTTTTATAAATATTACCGAATTAAATTCAATTTATATGCTGATGTAACATCGTGTGTCTAGTCTTTCGTTCATTACTTCCGTTTCCATAGTGCCTCCGACCGGCAACAACGCTTACTTACACATGATTTAGCCCAAGACGAAACATGAGCTTATAGGAGAAATCTTATCCATGCACTAGCGCACAGTGCCTACTTTTATTACGTACACAGTCCTCTAGCGTTATACCAAGAATGTACACATCAAGTATGTTGCCGAAAGGGATTGCACTGTTTGAATTCAATTAAATTCTTTTTCCTCTTTTGGAAGCTGCTTGAACACAAACTCTTCCACATACATACTATAACCATAAAGGTTACTATCAGATCTTTGTAATAAACAATTTGATCCTAATTGCTTTCGAATGTTTGATTCTTCTTCTCATTTTTCTTATGATAGGTATCAATAAACTGCGACAATAGCTGTTGCTTTTAGTCCTCAAGAAAATATATAAGAAAAAATTTCCTTTTCAACGACTTGTTTCAGCTGATGGTTATTGCTAAGATGAGACATAGTGAAGGGTTAGGTATATGCTATAGGGTTGTTCGGAAAGTTATTTCGTTTTTTCCCGACAGAGGATTTAATTGTATTCTTTTGCACCCAACTTCACATTTAAGCCGTATAATTTTTATATGCTTTGAGAGCTCATATAGCAAGGCTTGTGTGTGAAAAATTCCAATTAATTCTACGCAGTAGTTTTTGGTTGGTGCCCTTTTAAATATGGAGAGCGATAAGCAGCATTTTCGACATATCTTACTGTTTTACTACAGAAAGGGTAAAAATGCTGTTCAAGCCAGAAAGAAATTGACTGATGTGTATGGAGAAGGTGTGTTGACAGTACGCCAGTGCCAGAACTGGTTCGCTAAATTTCGATCCGGCAATTTTGATGTCGAAGATGCACCACGTTCGGGAAGGCCGGTTGAAGCTGATAAAGACGCGATAAAGGCATTAGTTGATGTGAACCGGCGAATAACAACACGTGAGATCGGATTGAGGTTAAATTTATCAAATTCAACAGTTTATGACCACTTGAAAGGCCTGGGATTATCCTCGAAGCTCGATGTATGGGTTCCCCATGTTCTCACAGAGAGAAATCTGTGTCGCCGCATTGACGTCTGCGATTCGCTTCTCAAACGTCACGAAAATGATCCGTTTTTGAAGCGCATCATCACTGGGGACGAAAAATGGGTTGTATACAACAACGTCAAACGCAAGAGGTCATGGAGCAAAAAAGATGAACCGGCTCAAACCATTTCCAAAGCCGATATTCACCAAAAAAAGGTGATGCTGTCTGTTTGGTGGGATTTTAAAGGAATCGTTTTTTTTGAGCTTTTACCGGATAACACAACGATTAATTCGGAAGTCTACTGTCATCAGCTGGACAAACTGA